TGGTTCTCAGTTATTATGTCCCTTCCAACATTGTGAAAACACATTGAAGGGGCCTGGCCTAGATATTGCTCTGTCAGCCCTTTCTTCCCGGGCTACTAAATCATTGTCATTTAACAACATAATTAGCACATCTCATTAGCTAATGAAGATAATGACCATTAAAATTCTTTTCCAATTTATGGTTTCCTTTTTATCACAATTTAACAACAATGTCGTTTCAGGGTAATAACAAAATTGGCTTACAAATGACCCTTATCCTAATGAGTGGAGTAGCACCTTGTATCAAGGAGCAAAGGATTATTTATTCATTGCACTCCTAATTATATTATGTAGTGGAGTTGCTGATGACTTTCCTATGTGATTCAGTCAAAATGTTCTGCTTTATCATTGTTATATGCAAGTGCAAAGTCAACTTGCACAGAGTATGCATATTTTTCTTTGGACGTCCTTATTTATGGGTTAGAATCAATTCCTACATTCCATTGCTAAGGTCCAGGAAAACACTAATGACCAGTGCAGGTATATTACCAAAGAATTTCAAGGGTAAATGGCACTATTTTTGAATTCAGAATGCTAGAATAGATTCTATTTGGTCAACTTATTTTCTTCTTCTAAAAAAATCACTTTTCCTATTTGTCAATGTGAAAAACTTTAAATATCTGAAAATGTATTTAATTCTACTGAAAATGATTAATACTCACAAAAGGAACACAGAAGGAAAATAATGGGATTGGTAAGATAAATGAATTTACACTTAGCTATAGAAATCAAAAAATTGAATTAGGAAGTCACTGATTCCTAATATCACTTTTGAATGGTTTTCTTAGTTTTCAGTTGCTCTTTGAAAAATGACCCCAAATTTAGTGGATTAAAATGCCTCTTCATTAGCTCACTGGTTTCTGTGTGTACGAGTTCCAGACTTTGGTTAGCTGGCTTTTCTAAGGCTCAACAGTGAATTCTCTAGGGCTAGCATCCTGTCTGAGACTCAGATTTATTTTTTAATTGCAGAATTTAGTAGAGTGAAGTTTTAGGCCTGATGGCTCCATCTTCTTGCCATCAGTCAAGATTCAATTTCAGCTTTTATTTATTTATTATTATTATTATTTTAAGATTTATTTATTCATGCATACAAGAACCCGGGACAGGCAGACTAAAGAAATACACTGCTAAGGGGAGCAGCAGGTGAGACAGGAGGGGTCTGCCACGCCTTGTGGGATTCTCGCAGGCTGGTGGGGATCAAACCCGTGCTGCATAAGCTGTGGACAGCTTCACAGCTCTGTGCTCAACCACCTGCACCCATCATGGAGGCCCAGTCTCAGCTTTTAGAGTTTCTCCTCAGTCCCAAGCATGCATTGTAAACTACCTGTGTAGAACTCTTAGGACAATCAGCCCTGCTAAACTGAGTCTAATATAGCATCGTAGCATTACGTAATCATGGACAGACAACCATCATATACTGAGACCGTACCCTGCCTATACAAGGGGTAGGAATCCCCCTGGCTTTGCTTGCTTTGCCTTCTGAAATGCAAATTATATTGGCGCCTCCTAGGATAGCAAGAGTTTCATTCCATTGCTACATCAGCTCAGAATCTAAATTCTGCTCAGGTGCAGATGAACAGCATGGATGGAATATAGAGTGGGTTGGTGGAGCATGTTCTTCTCCACCTGTGAGCTAGAAAACTGTGAGCATAAGTTATCAACTCCCAGCACTGCCATTTTCAATGGCAGGACAGGCACGGAAATGAATTGCAGACATTTTCATTCTCAAAGAAAGGAGAAATGGAAAGTGAACACACTGAAATGCTGGATTTTCTTTGATTGGGCATCAAGTTCTGGCATCAGGCTTTTGTAACCCTTGCCCTAGCCTTCTGGGTTTTTTGATAGAGAAAAATACAAAGGCACAGATTCAACTCTTGAAAGGAACTAAGTGTAACTAAATTTTTGATCATTCCAAGATGTTAGCTGATGGTTGTCTTGTTACATCATCCATCTTTTTTTTCCCCACTTTGAACAGCCATTTACTTTCAAAAGCATACTGCTCTGCATCCTTTTTTTTAACAGTTCTTCCTTCATTTTTTTTTTTTTTTGTGCTCCTCTCCCATTTTACTCTGATTATCAGGAAGAAATCAGACAATATTTTTTGCATTAAATTAGATCTCCACATTCTTCAATAACAAGTTCTGATTCCACCCACAAGACACAGCTTTACTAGTCTTTTGCATTGTATCACAGAGCTCTCTATTCAAGTTTTCTGTCATATATTCTTCACTTCCTTCTGAACTCTTATCGCACCATCTTCCAAATCCAGATTTTGAATCCAGAGGCGCTTAGATTTTTCCTCTCATGCTTCTTAATATTTCCCAGTCTCTACCAACTTCCTGGTTTCAAAGCCACTCACAGATTTTAAAATATTGTAGCAGTGACTATTTTCCACGTACCAAATTCTGTACTCATTTATTTGCTGTGTAAGTATCTCCAGGTCAGGATGCTGGACATGGTAAAGCTGTGTTTTCTGCTCAGGGTTTTCACAGGCTAAAATAAAGCTTTGGACTCAGGTTTGACCTCTTGCGAATTTCAGGGTCAAAATACCTGTGGTTCACTTTCATGACTGATGTCAGCTTTCTCCAGTTCTTTGGATCCCAAACCAGTCAACAGCTACCTATTAACTATCCACATATTTTAGGATTCTCCATTTCTGTCTATCAGTTTATGAGATGATAATAATGATGATGATCACAAATATTCACATCACAGGGACTGGGTATTGTCTTGAAAGAAATTAAATCTCCTAGAACCATGAAAATCATAGTTAATTTGTTCCGAATTGCTTAGTGGATTATTGCAGATTCAATATAATATTTGAATTATTCATTTAGAAGTTAAACAACATTAAAATATTAAAGCTGATGTGCAGTTTTAACATTACAAATATATAACATTTTACATAGAAAATTTGTCCATTGTTATTTAAATTCAGTTATTGGAATGCTGTCTGAAATCAATATTGTATAGCATAGTAAAGATGGTTAAATTAAATGAGTGAATAGTTCATGAGGAAATATTTTTAACTCTCTGCTTCTCCTCCATTGAACATCTGGATGAAAAATGCTTTTTTTATATATGTGTTTTCATGTTATGAAAGCCTCTCACCTATCTGGCAGAGAGGAGCTTATTAAAATGGAGTTTATATTTTTCCCTTACTGCTATTCTTAGCTACAAATTCAGATTATTAAAAGAAGCAAAAAAAACTTGAATTTTTACTTTGAGTTGACATGTCTCTCTTTAAAAAAAACACAATTAAAATACATTATTATACTTAATGTAAGAAATTTGAGGCTTTCCTACTAAAAAATCAGGTAAAAATCAAGTATATTCCCTCTCCCTTATAGCATTGCACTAAAATTTCAAATTAATGTAATAAGTAAAGGAAATTAAAAAGTATACAGATTAGTAAGAAAGAAATAAAGCTTTCTATTTTTGCAGATGCTATGATTGTCCACACAGAAATTCCAAAAGAATCAATCAAAAACTCCTGTTTCTAATAAGTGATTCTAGCAAAGTTGTTGGATATAAGGTTAATACAGAAAAATCAGTCACTATCCTATATACCAGCAATGACCAATTAGAATTTGACATTAAAAACACTGCCATTTATAGCATCATTCACAAAATCAAATACTTAGGTATAAAATATTACAAAATATGCCCAATATATAAAAATAATGAACAAAGTCAAATAGCTAAATAAATTAAAATATTCCATTTTTGCAGACAGGAAGATACTATAGTGTCAAGATTTCAGTTCTTTTCAACTTATGTATTCAATACAACTTCAGTCAAAATCTCAACAATCTGGGCCTCCCTGGTGGCACAAGGGGTTAAGACATAACCTATGAAGCTATCTGCAGCCTGTGCAGCACAAGTTCTATCCCTGGCCAGAGCGCTACCCACATGGCACAGCAGACCTATCCTGCTGCTCCGCTCAGCAGTGTATTTCAGTCAATCTGCCTGTTATGCTCCCCACTCTATCTTTGATGAATACTCTTACCCCCCACACCTCTGGCCTGTACCCCAGTTCTTGTATGCATAAATAAGTCTTTTAAAAAAATCTCAACAATCTAGTGGATATAACCAAACTGATCCTAAAGTTTGTATGGAAAGGCAAAAAAGTAGTTAAAAGATTATCAAAAATATACAACAACAAAATATCTGCAGTCGACAGTGTATTATTGGTAAAAGATCTGAGCTGAGAAATAAACCCACATAAATATATTCAACTGATCTTTGAAAATGAAATCAAAATAGTGTCTTGAACAAATGGTCATGGAACATCTGGATATTAACATGCAAAAAAAAAAAGGGATATAGACAGACTTTATCTCCTTTACAAATTTAATTCAAAATGGATTGCACACTTCATAGCAAAACGACAACAAAAAACTTTTAGAAGCTAATAGAGGAGATGAGTTTGGACATAGTGATGACATTTTGGAAACTGTATCAAAAGCACAATGCATAAAATAAATCATTGATAAGCTGAACATCATTAACATTTAAAATTTTCAATCTATGAGGATGATGTCAAGAGAATGAGAAGACCAGTCACGGACAGGAAGAAGATATTTGTGAAAGATTCATCTGGTGAAGGATAGTTATTCTAGATATGCCAAGAACCGTTAAAGCTCAGTAATGATAAAACAAATAATCTGGTTGAAAAATACTCTAATTAACAACTGAGAGACTTGATGTTCTAGTTGAGGGGTCTGGGTCAAAAGACCTTGCCAGTGAAAAAAAGAAATATGGCCTTTCAAGTTCTATAGTATTTTATGTCTTTGAAATACGTATTTGCTGTTTATCCCCCAATATGTTTTCATGAGTTGGATTCTTTAATGGTATGAGAAATTTATAATAGCTGTGTTTTATGTTATTCATAACTGCCTAAGTTTATATGCTATGAGTGTTGAAAAGTTATTTATATAATTTCCTTTATTTCCCTCCAGAATCCAGTTACAGCAGTATATAAGAAAAGACGCATCACTGAACATTCATGAAGTGAGTTATAAGGTAAATTTATTCTTTATAAATTCTGCTATGTTAAAAATGTTACTGAAATGACAAAAGGTGCTATCATTGAGTTTCTCTTAAGGGTTTTATATAACGACATTGAGATGTTAGACATGTGGCAGAACAATTTCCTTAGGGTCTTTAAATCATTCTCTAAAAATTATCAACTCCATTATTTTCTCTAATTTTGAATTCTTTCTCATAGGTGCATTTTTCAAATATCACAGAACCAGCCCAGGTACATTAACACTGGACTGACATTCATAGGTGTTTCTAAATTTTCTTAAAATAAACTAGAAGTTTTAAGAAAGAGACTGAATATTATATTTCAATATTTTAAAATTATTTCTAAAATATAATTTGGTATATCTGTGCATTTGAAATATGTACACGTAAAGAAAACAGTATGTCTGTTTTAGTAATCACTCATGGGTATAGAACACTTCTCTAATGAATATTGAATTTATATTTTGTAACATGTCTTTAAAGGTCAAACTCTAGAGATATAATTTACTTGGTAATAATCATCATTTAGCTGTGTAATTCTGTTTTATAGATAAGGTTTACTAAAACAAGGCACTCACATTTAGTAATAATTGTAATAGATGTTGGAAATGTTAATAATTAATGGATGAATTTTGGTGAATGACTAATGACATTTAATACAAAATTGCTTGCATTGTAGCAGACATCTTCTTGAATATATAAATTTCTTATCAAAGGGTGAAATATAAGGATACAAGTCTTCATAGCAAAAATACTGTTTTAATTTATTATGACTAATGCCTACTTCATCACAGGAATTTTATGCAATTGCCTGATATTTTAGTTAAGTCTGCATATATCTTGTTAAAGCCTGTTCATTTATATAAAGGGAAGTGCTTGAGAATCTTGATATTTCAAAATGTTTGACATTTGTTAAGGTTCAAAGTGCTTTCTTGATATTTCAAAATGTTTGACATTTTTAAGGTCAAATTCTATATTTTTATATAATGCATTTGTAATTATTTTAGTAGGAGAATTCTCAACAAGGATCTGTATTTGTGATAACATAATGAACTTAAAAACGACAACAAAATAAACCTAATTGTATTCCATTCAATTCAAACAAAGATTTAAGTTGACACAGTTTTCAAGTGTGGATCCCTTCTGTCTCCTCCTCCCTACTCAACACTCTTGGTCTTGTTGGAAGCTTTTAGCAAGGGTGAGATTTTTGATGACATGGTTCAGAATTTATTTGTGTGGCAAACAATTTTTTTAAAAAATGGCTCTCTGGGTGTATAAAAAACAGGTGGAAGTAAAAATAACTAAGGTGTAGAAAACAGTGTTATAACAGGTTCTGTGACACACACTGCTTAATTATCTTACTAATAAATCACTTCATTGTAAATAAGCACGACTTCACCTATCATGGTGATCATGCTTTATCATGATAAGAAAACTGTGTGTGTGAAAATATTTGCATCAGTTTTCATACTCAGCATGTGATTTAAACATGCCTAATTAAAAAAAATAGAATATTGATGCATAATTTATCGTTAAAATATCATATTTATTGTATCATCCCTGAAGTTGTAGAGAATTATAAACAGAATTATACATACACTGATCATTTGCCCTGTGTGTGGGCACTAAGTTCCTTAACCCAATTCAGAAAGGGATATTTTATCACAAATTTTATCAAGAAAGAAGAAAAGAAGGAAAAGCTTAGAGTTCGAATGTTAGTCAAAGTTTCCAGGCTTTAGGTCAGATTTAAACAGGGTAATGAAAAAGGAGAAAATAAGATGCTCTTTATCAAGTAAATTTAATCAAAATGCATTTATCAGATTCCAACACTATTATAATGTATAAAAATGAAAAGAAAAATGAGCTAGAATAATAGATTTTGCACTGATTGCCTTTGTCACTCAAGCCCTAATCACATTTGTATGGACTTTATATTAAATTTCACTTATATTTTACTCTTAAATATCATTCTGGAAACTCTATTATAGAATATAGCATTTAACTTAAATAGCCAAACAATACCTAATATTTAATGAATGACAGATGAAGTGAATATCTCTGTAGAAGAAATTTTCTGACTGCATTGGTTACTATGCTGTTTTACTTTTAGTCTACCTATTTTGTTTTAATCTGGCTTACAGTGAGTGGTATGGAACTACCGCTGGAACTACAGGCTGTGGAACTACATTTCAGTAGAATGTTCACACTCAACTGCTCTAAGTTATAGCAGGAAATCTTTCATCAAAATTCACACAGAAAGACAATTTTCATGAGATAATTATCTACTCTAAATTAGTGATTAAACTATATTTACAATAGAATCCAAAATAGACCTATCAGGTGTTTAATGGTGCAGAAGCACAAGCTGCTTTCTAAGGTATAAAAGTTAAAGCTGTTCTATAATTTATACCTGTATAAACCTCAAAATTATATACAGTGTTGTAAACCAGTGTTATTTCAATAAAACATGATAACCGAAGGAAAAACAATTCAAACTAAATAAAATTTCAGATTTTCATAGACAAATAATTTTATTCATTGAAGTAAAATGAATGTGAGTTCTTAATTTACACAATTGACACTTGAAATTTTCCTCATATCATTTGCAATCAATTACTATTTTCTTTTACAGTTATGAAAAAAATTGTAATGCACATTACCTTATTGATGTGTACTTTTTTGTTTCAAAAGTGTGGATACTAATCTATTTCTGTTCCATAAATTTCTTTTTTTGAAAAATATTTATTTATGCATACACGAGCTGGGGTGCAGGCCAGAAGATGTGTGGGGTATGAGGACTCCCTAGAGAGAGAGTGGGGAGTAGAATAGGCAGATCTTCTGAAATACACTGCTGAAGGGGGCAGTGGGTGAGACAAAAGTCTGCTGTGCCATGTAGGCAAATTCCCTGGCCTGGGATTGAACTTTTGCTGCAGTGGCTGCAGATAGTTTGATAGTGCTGAGACCTAACCCCTTGTGCCACCAGAGAGGAGAGGCTCCTCTGTTCTATAAATTTCTGTAACTACTATGTCGTACAGTTCATGTTAGATAACAAATATAATCTACATTCTATATATAATCTACATCCTGTTACTACTACAACCAGTAGTAGTTTTAGGGTGTTTTTTTTGTTTCCGTGTACCTTAGCATAGTCCAATAAATATTCTTTCTTTATTCTGTTTTTATTTATTGTATTGTTTTCTTATTGAGGCAGTGTTGGTTTTTAACACGGTATGATTTAGAGGAACGAACCACTAAATATTCTTGTATGGAACATAAGGAAAGCAAGTAAATTATATAATTTTCTGCATGTAAGAGACTATATAACTCTATTCATTTCTATGACTCCATGTTACATGAATAATCTCGAGTCTGCCTAGGAGGTGCTGGGTGTTCATAAACTCATTTATTTCTCATGATACAGGTATGATCATTGCTCTCCAGAAGAACTGTGAATTAAATTAAATGAACTTGATTTTCATAGAACTTTAGATCATTATTTATGTTCAGCATTTGCTGACACTTGTATAAAGTACGGAGGTGTAAAGCTTATCATTAAATAATGCCAAGTAATCTGCATGAACCCTTTGCAGGAGGTCACCTGGGATTGATTTGCTTGTCTCTGTTTGATTTGAACTGCATAAAACTCTGGTCTCTGATTGTTGCTGCTGAGATTCTAAAAAGATTCTATAAAGAAATATCAGGGACCCCCCAACATTTTCACTGTTCCTGCTGCCACTTACTTGGTTGTTATGCCAATGGAAAAGCAGTTTGTTCTGATGTCTCTGAGATGAACATTCTTCTCTTGTGTTTTCCTGGCAGTTTTACAAGCACCTTCTATCCTTTGGGGGTAGATACAAGCTGACAGTTTGTACAGAAGAATATGATGATGTGCTTCCAAGTTTGTTTTGCATTTTTTCATGAACAGCATTACTTGTGTTACTTAAAGTAAAACATTTTTCCCTTGTTTACTCAACAATGTCATCTATTTGAAACACATGCCATTGAAGGATCACCTTCTTCATCTGGTTGGCATGAAATCTGCCACTACAATATTTCAAATTTCACCAGCATCTTTAACTTCTTTAAAAAATAACTTCATAAGAAGTAGTTTTAAATTCAGTGATTACTCAAATTTTAATTTACACAAACCAAAGAAAAAGGATTTAGACTGTATAAATAATTATATTTTCTTGGGTGATCACACTGTAAAGGAATTATCCATTAAAATTTGTAAATTCTTTGAAGTAAAATGTATGTTTGCTGATTTTCTCAAACATTTCCATGTTTCTAAATGTTTTTTTTTTTTTTAGATTTATTTATTTATTTATACAAGCACTGGTACAGTCAGAAGCGTGGGAGGGTGAGAGAATTCACCAGAGCCAGAGTGGGGAGCAGAGCAGGCAGACTGACGAAATACACTGTTGAGGGGAGCAGCGGGCGCAGCAGGAGAGGTCTGCGCGCCATGTGGGACCCTCGCCTGGGTGGCCGGGGATTGAACCGGCGCTGCAGAGGCTGTGGGCAGCTTCACAAGCAGGCGCTCAACCGCTGAGCCACCGGGGAGGCCCATGTTTCTAAATGTTTTACCGTCTTCCATTTTAATTAAATTTATCTCTCTTACTCCTTACCTACCCACCTTTATCTATTGTGGAAAAGTCAGAATGCCTGTATATAGTAACTAATACTACTAGAGTTTTCCTTTTCTCCAAAAATGTGTCTTTGATTCACCTCTGTCATCATGCCAGTTCCTTCTTAACAAATCTGTTGGCTTCTCAGCTAGACTAGCTAATTGTATTGAGGCACATGCTCTTAACTTACTTGTATTATATTCTTCCCTTCTACTTAACCTCTCTCAGTAAAGCACATTACTAGGCATAAGATAGATTTAAATATATTATATGAACTAAGGTACTGAAATGGTTTACCCAGATATAAGAGCTACTTTAACAGTATATGCCTCCTAAAACACCTCAGAAGTTTCAGAAAGTAAAGATTCA